AATTCAATTTGAATAAAAGCGCACGAATTTATGCAACAACCCAATATTATAATACATGCTAGAATCCGTTTTCGTTTAACGCGACTACATGCAATTCATTATCGTTTCCGTGCCATCTCCTCATTATGCAAATATTATGTATGCTGAAGAGAACTTGCCACAGCTCTGTGGCAACAACGTATCTTCAGTGCACATGTATGATATCAGATTAATCAACACAATATCAGAATACTAATTCAGTCAAGTTTTTATTGAAATAACAACGGTGATAGGGGTCGCATACAGGGCGTACTTACCTTAGAGGTTTGGACAAAAGTGAAAATGAGAACGGGAAGGGAAGGGAACAGATTGGGGAAAGCAGGAGGAAGTAGGAAAAAGTGGGAAGTGGGGAGAGGAGGAGGTGAGGTGAAATAAGTAGAGGAGGGGAAAGGAAGAAAGAATAAACGTAAAAAACTCGATCATCTCAAAACTCTACCGTTTTTGGAAGCAGACCATTTTGCGCTCTCTGTCCGCACTCGTTGGAAAAAAAAATTCTGGCTAAACAGCAGCGCTAATGAATGAATAAAAGATCACATTTAGTTGTGGCCTCACGATGACCCGATGTGAATTAGGCTCGCAGTCATAACCGTTTCGTTGTTCAGCACTGAAAGTACAATTGCTTCACAGAAATGAAATCGTAACAAACGACTGCTTGCACCTGTCATCTTCATGATTTCGCCACATTCGACTGCGGTTAATTATCATTCTGTGATTTTTCGATAAATCACTACCTCAAGACTCCACATATATTTTGTTAGATAGAATCATCTCATTTTAATGATCTTCATTTATTTTACTAATTGTAAGGCGATCACTACTATTTCGTAAGGCAGTTTTGGATTCGAGGACTGCACTACAATCACGTTATCAAGTCAACAATACGCCTAGTTTCATTAGCGGAGGGAACGATAGCTGCTTACAGTCGCTTAGAGCATAATCCAATCTGATACATTGGCTTTTGCTTGGTTAATGCTGTCCATTGTTCGACAGTTATTCGACGATTTCCATTAAATCGAGTAGCGCATTGTTCGAGGTTGACAACGTGGCAATACTATTTAGTAGGTGTGATTGGCGAAGCTGACGTATAACGAGAGAAGAATTTTTTTATCATTCATGTGCTGGGTTATCAATTTTATCGATAATCTTGCATAAGAAGTCACTAGTGTTCTTCTTATTCAGAGTTTTCTCCTAGAAACATTAGCTGACTTCTAAAAAATTTCCGTGAACCTACAGCAAATGGCATTTCATTCTAAGAAATTTAACTTCAAATTTTGTCCGACAATATTCTCTTCAAATGGAAACATTCTCATCCGTTGCAATTCGTACACTGTTATGAATAAATTGGTCTTAGAAAGTCTGTTTTTTTTTTCCATACAACCGGCTATTCTGTCTCCTGTTCTAGCCCTTATCCGTTCGTGTATCGTCAACTTCACATTGATTTGTTCGTTTGGATATGAAAATGAAAATTATTATCTTAAGCATTCTGATTTCAAAATTTTTGATTCAGCGCATAAAAACACCGTTTACAATCAAATAAAGAAATTATTTATAGTTAAATATCGCAACTCTCTCCTCAATTAGTTATGTTCCATCGCTTAGAAAACCCTCAAACATCAACAAATCATTTCTTCATCATTCATTTAGTTAAATGCAACAAAGAGCTCATTTATTTAGTTATATTTGCAAAGATTTCAACGGTTTGTTCGGAAGGAAATCAGTATGCGACGCGAGACCCGATTGCACTATGCTTACACTCAATAAAACTTTTCCAATGTGTTATTGGTGGAAGAAGAACCGACGAATTTACAGGTAAACTAAGCGAGGAAAATGCCTCTTCGACGGGTCACTCTGAGCGGTCGATTAGCTCAATACGAAAGTGACGAACCGGAGTCGGTGAAATTGGTTTTGTTGAAAGGTTTCTGCGCAGTTTTGATCGATGTACTCGTTGCCGTTATTGTTGCGGCTATAGCATTCAAATTCTTTATGAACTATCTGGTGGCACCGTATGAGCGTGGATTCTATTGTCATGAGGTTCGTTTTGTGAGAATCTTTCAGCGATGTTTTGGAAACATCACTGAAAAACACCGAAGCTTCCTAGGTTTCAGTTGAAGTTCCGGTTCCAGCTGAACTGAATGGGTTGATTGCCGAACAGGCAGACGATTTGGTGGTCACTCACTGGATTCATTCAGATCTGTGGCCACCACTCACCATCGAAACCAAACCAGGCAGATCGATCGATATGGTAGCCATCCAGTACAGAGTTTGGGTGGCACTTACCCTGTCATTTGCCAGCCCCACTTGAAACCCTATGGCCCAATAGCACTGCAACTCACCTCAACTGAGGCTTGCCTTTGCATCAGTGCAGATTTTCTTAACTTTAATGCTTCATAGCATTTTTGTAACAGTATGTAACAATCAACTCCGGATAAGCTTGAACGGTGTTGCTTTCGAATATCTCCCATTTCATTTGCTCTTAGAAATGTTATCGTTTTTTTTTTAAAGTTCACCACATCGTTCACATAGCACCATGACCTTTTTAAATATGCTCTCTTGTTAATTCTATATTCCATAATAACGACCCAGTTATATTGGTCCATCCAAGAAATGAAGCCAATTTACCTAATCGTAAACAACTCAAGAATTCCCATATTCTTGATCTCATTTGATCTCACTTACCAGATTCAATAACTTACGAGAGATGTGTGCCTTTGCAATAAACCAGTTCATTCTCAAACATAATAACACCAGACAAAAGTGATGATTTTTCGATCGTTTTTTTGAGATAAATCCGAAGAATGTTCACAAATCAGTAGTTTCAGCTTCAGTTGTAGGCTTTCGCCCGCCATCCAGTGAAAATTTCTGCTCAGTGAAAGCCAAGATTTCAGGTGGAATCATTGAGTAATCCGTTCTATCCGAACACAATCAACACGCGACATCTATTGGGTGTCACTCTAGTAACACCGTTCGTGCTCGTTCTATTCGCCGAAGGCATTTTCTTTAGTGCGTCGAAAGGAACGAATCGTTTGCGAAAATATTTCTATTCGGTAACATTCGTCTACTTGGAATTCGTTCTTGCCTATACAATTGCACTGTTCATTATGGAGGTTGGTTGCAGTTCTTTCAAAATTCAATGGTCACTAGCCTTCAAAGCCTCTACAGTAAAGTAGATAAAGTTATAAAATTAGCACATCAACTTAAGAATTCCCATATTTTTGATCCCATTCGAATCTGTGCCTCTATTTTTTCACCAAATTTCCTTCATTTCTTGGTTTTTGAGTATATTTCTGTTTATTTCAATCGTCTGTTTGATCAATATTTGAGTCTATGCCTGTATTTTTTCACCAGCATTACTTATTTTTTCACCAGATCAATCAATTGCACTCGACCATATCAAACGTTACATCAAAACGTCAACATTAAACTATCACAGTGAAATGAATCGCACAACAACCGTCTATCACTTTAAATTATGGATAATAACAGGCTGTCATAGGACGGGGGGCTGAAATTGAAATATTCCTAGGGAAACGTTTGTTTTCAGGGTGTTAAATGTTGTTTTGCGCGTCTTCGACCACATTATTTATCGGTTTGCAAGCCAGATTGGTCACGAATTAATTGCAGTGATCCGAACAAATTCATTGAAAGTTTGTTTCGACTGTTTTTTGATTTTCGAAAACTTTTCCATGAACTGTTGAAGATATGTTTTGCTTTAAATTGTAAGAAAAGCTGTGATAGATTCGATGAGTTATCACAGAGTGCGTTTTCCTTTGATATAGTATGTGTTTTTGTTGTAGATGCCTATTGTACGAATGATGATGCGCATCGAATTCGAATTGGACGTCAAAGCTTTCCAAGTGGTCATTCTGCTGCAGCAATACTTTTATTTGTCTTCATATATCACTACTTAACGAGTAATTCTTTTCTTAGCTTCCATGTGAACACACCTATTTGGTAATGATCGCGTATGAAAGTTCAGTTCATAAAAATGGATTGCCTCACTGTTTCGAAGCATTATAGATTCGAATGAACTGAAGTGAATCTTTTAAACCTGAAATCTTTTGAGATCAAGCATTAAATCTTTTGAATTGAGTTTTCAGTTGCGGTTTTTTGTACTTTCTACTGCTTCAAACTAGCTCTCTTCAGTTGAAAACTTCAAGTGTTTCGAGTTTTCTCAATCAAATTTCTTTCATTTCTTGATTTTTGAGTATGTTTCTTTTTATTCCAGTCATCTATTTTATCAATATTCAAGTTTATGCGTATATTTTTTCACCAATACCATAAAAATCAATGCATTCTTCATTTTCTTCACTTTCTTCTTTCCACACACACGCTAAAGATATTATCGCGAGAAATCAATCAATCGACTTCATGAATATCTAAACTCGATTATTGCTTCAGTGATCAAAAAGAGATAAATTCTACTCGCCTATTCTATGGAATAAATTCTTGGAATAGAATGTTCGAAATAGCATTAAGTTGCAACTCCAAATCTGAATTGTAACTGTCATCACTATTGTTATTTCAGGTCTTGTGAAAGCCTCGAATATTCCGTTACTTCGCCATCTACGACGTTTTCTTCTGATAGTTTTCGGACTCTGGGCAGTCATTGTTTTAGTGAGTCGTGTAACAGACTATTGGCATCATCCAAGCGATGTTCTTGGTGGTATCTTGCTGGGTCTGTTCAGTGCATTCGTTACGTTCGCAAGACGAGACTCATCCAGTGTATATGAGCGAAGAAATCTCAGTCATCCGCATTTACAGTGATTTGCTCTGTTCTTGATTAAAGACATTTTCGCCAGATGTGACGAATTGTGTCGAGCATCGCAACGTTACCTTTTAGCTCTAGTAATTTAAAATTTCAAGTGTCAGGTCTAGAAAGTCGGACTCTACATATTTCTGTAGAGATTATTTTCATTAGCAACATTTTTCTCAGTCTCCTCCAATGATTCGCTGTCTTATCAGCTATCATGGCCTCCTTCTTTGTGTACATTATTATAAGGTGGTGTTTCTTATCATTTCGTGTTCAGTTCAAAGGTCTTTTATTGAATTATAAATACTTATGATAGTGATTGTGTTGACATTAATCTGAGAGATCTGTGATATGTGGATATGTAGGTAGGAGATCAGTATGACATCAACTTGTCTATTGTTAAAGTTATGAAACAAGTCATGATACCAAGTCAAAAATCACCATTAGATGACAGATGCCAAGAATAACATATTCTATCAATCGATCATGAAAAAAATGAAACAGTGGGTAGAAGAAACTGAAATATTCCAGTAGATCTAATACGTAACTTAATTTTTTTAAGTACGTACACTCAAATTTCATTCGTCATAGCCAACGGTCGGATTTAGATTTCGCATAAGGCGGTGTAGTCTGCCTAACGGTCAGGGATTATATCTCTCGTTTTATCTTATTCTACTGCAATGCTTATGATAGCTTTATAGGTCAAAATATCGGACGAGCAAACAGTTTTTGTCAGTATCAATACTCGCGTAATGCTGAAAGGTCAATAATACGTTCAGAATTTGCTGTTGTTATTATGATTTTATACGTTATTATCATCATCGATTCTTGTATTGTTTTCATTTTTGTGTCATTTTTATTGTCCATTTTGTCATATAACCAGAATCTGTCGTTAATATGGTTGATGCAGTGACGATACTATTGAATGTATTCATTGTTATTACTCGTGTTGCTTCCACTATATTTGTCCATTTATTCGCTTGCATAATCGGTAATTAAATTAGCTCATTAGGAGTACGCACATCGTTGATATCACCAATAATTAACAGCGAAAAATATCAGTAGATTCCACACTCCTTGACATGCTTCACCCCACACAGCTAACGAAATTAGCCTTCGAAATCATCCATCAACATGAAGTTCTGATCTTAATGCTTGCTCAAGCCGTGACACTGCTCTAGCCATTACTTTTCTGTAAAATTCAACGACATCTGAGGACAGTACGTACGTGTTATATGCGTATGTGATGATAGCTTTGCGTGTGTTCTCGCATTTTTGTTTCACATTCACATTGCTTTACTTAATTTTATCGAATCAACTCGTTTATATCACTTAAATTCGAATGATTCCAATTCTTCTATTCATTCGTATCTCACACTTTCCTAATAAATATATCATCAATGAGGTGGTATTGCTTGTTGTTCATAGTTATTAATATGGTTACTGCCAGTTCCATGTATTGGTGTGTTGACTCGACCGTCTTTCAAAAGAATCACAACAGAAAGCATTATAGCTTAAGTGATGCCTGAGCTTCAGTTTCACTCTAAATCGGACCTGATCAATTCTGAGCAAAATTCACCAGCCTAAACTGTTCGATTTGGGCATAATCAAAACTTAATCACAAAGCCGAGACGTTATTCTGTGGAAAAAAAAGTGATTAAATGAAAGAAATAATCAGATGTTGTGGAAGGGTTGACTTGGCAAGATGGCTTATATATCGAAGGCAGATTTGATTGATGCGTTAAAGCATGAGTTTGGTGCTGATGACGAAACTGGCTTATGCACAAAGATATTGGGTCCAGCGAGCAGGTAGGTTATCGCTAAATCAGTCAGGACGTTCAAATTCGGCGCATTGAGCATTGCTAGCATTGCACAATAACAACTATTGTTCCAGTGCAGCAATACATTTCAAATTTCTCATTTCGAAGATCGCCACGTAAAGCAGGAAGTGAACGATTCTGAAGTTTCCTCAAGGGTTTCCATCTAGATTCTAGAAGTATGTATATATTTCGTTTTCAGGCGGCCGAAACCGGGCGGTCTACCGCTCGGCTTCCGACAGGATGACTCTTCATATGAATCGGATGAAGAGCAGTATTCTCCAGGATATTTGGTAAGCTAAAAACTAGATTAGAAATTCGGCTGAACCAAAGCAGACGTCAAATTTAGCCGATAACCATTTCAGCTTCACACTATCTTTTCGAGCAAATACGATATCATAGAGTTTCAAGCTTATAGACGTTGACTTTGAGGACTGCAAGCTTTCAGAGGGAAGTATACGTCCGAATTGTTTCGAAGCAAAACAGCAACATCTGAATTCAACACTGGTTATGTCAAAACGAACAGCTTCTTGTAGAAAGTGTATAATTGAAGCCAAAAAAGTTCATAACAGATCAATAGAGTGGCTTCTTCTTTCCTTCATGATAGCGATTTCTCGCGATCACTGCCTGCAAAAATCTGAAACAAATGAGCGACTCAAGAAAGCACTTATCAGAATTTTGCAAAAATATGATATTTACATTGATATTCCATAACATTGAACATAATACAGATATGTATTCCAGTAAGTAATAATCATAGTCGCCATTATAAAAACGGTTAACTTTTTGATGACGAACGACAACGAAGAAGGGACACCTTTTAAATTATTCGTTTAGTTTTATTCATACGACCTAATTGATGCCTATCGAGGCTCAGCACAAATGGTTAGATAAGTGCTGAATGAAGCAACAATTTTGTTCGATATTCCGGTGTAAGATGACTTCATCAGAACAGTAACTTTCTTAGTATTATTATCAGCCAAGCACTTGTTTTATTAGTACTCTCCAAAGAGTCGCTTAAAGTTTTTCGATAGTAAACAACGAAAAAAAAAGAAAAGCAGATTTCAAATTCTTTCAAAACGTCTTTATGTGTCAGTCATCATGCAGATCTGTCTGTCGCATATGTTGCTATGAAGTGAATGCTTTTCTTTGAGCAAGTTGCGACCAATATCGAAAACAATTAGGAAAATTAGCGGATAATTTAAATTTCAGGCATATTTCGATGAGCTCTCCACTCAAGGCATTATTCAGAGTCGTTTACGATCGAGAACAGTCGAAAATGAGAAGATTAGCACATCGAAAAGTGGCGCATCATGTACGACGGTTATCGTTCCGGGTCGTTATCACATGTCAATGGAGGCGCGAAATAGAGGAACGCCCAAAGAGGAGCCATTTAGAAAAACACAGAAAGAGGAGCCAACTATAAAGATCTACAAAGTGCAGCCAACTGGAGAAACGCAACAAGCGCAGCCAATTGTAAAAACTCACAAAGAGGACTCAATTAAAAAGACGACCCACAGAAATGAGCCGACTCGAAAAACGCACACAGTGGAAGCAACTAAACAGAGCCACAAAGAGGAGTCAACTAAAAAGACGACGACCCACAAAGAGGAGTCAACTAAAAAGACGACGACCCACAAAGAGGAGTCAACTAAAAAGACGACGACCCACAAAGAGGAGTCAACTAAAAAGACGACGACCCACAANAAAAAAAAAAACGCAAGCAAACAAAACACGACGAATCATTTTCTGATGCACATTCTGTGACCTACCTCGAAATTTTCATCGTTTCCAGATTGATCAATGAAAATCCTCAAGTGCAATTCACTTCACTGGCTGCCTATGCCGAATTTGAATCAGCGGTTCGTTTCTGCCACTGATTTCTTCCGTCCACTCATTCTTTTCACTCATAATTCACCTGGCAATATAAGCCATTTCTTCAGCACCTTGCTGAAATGATCACAATCAATCATAGCAAAGCATGCAAATCTGGAAAACTCCATGAAATCCTCTCCTCTCATTTCTCCGAAAATGTTCTGTTCATTTTATAAGCAGACATCCCCCCCCCCCAAAAAAAAAAACGCAATTTGATCGATAGTAGTATTCGTAACCGTTTACTCAGTTCTCTGGCAAATGATGCTAGACTTACTCAGTCCTATAGCGAATAGCACTGGGACAATTGAAGAATGCGTACGCATAATCGTATTCAGCTCAGATCCTAGCTCCTGTAATGAACATCGTTTTAGCATGTTGTACTCTGGTTAGCGCATTAATTCTCACACTGTGACTGAGTATGAGTATCTCATTGATGAATAGAATATTCTATATATATATAATGGAAAAAGACTCGCAGAGGTTTTGAGATGGATTTCAACAGTATCAAGCATTCGAGGGGAATTTAAGGATGCGTCCAGTGGTCGTCAACTGATGGTATTCTATCCTTTTGCGGATGCAAAAAATGATGAAACTCTCGGATGTATGCTGAATTTGCGCGTGCTACCAAAAACGAAAATTTCCGATCTGATTGGTTTCTGCTGTTATGCGTATATGCGTAATAATCGAACACCACCAATAAGGTATGATTTTTGCAGCATCTCCATTGGGAGTAATATGTCTTTTGACAGACTTGAATCAGCATATCTAGCAAACGTCTAGAGCTGAATCTAATGTAAGCTTCACCCAAACCCGTCTAGACCTGAATCAAATCAAAAAGAGTTTAGTTTCAGCGTAACTATGATCCACTTCATAATCACCTGTGCGAAAATGTCACCATAAGTAATATCATGTCGTCCATCAAATAACAAACAAAGTCTCAAAAGTGATAGAGCTTCACACATCGAAATTGTGATAGAGTTCCACCTCCAGCGTAAAATNTTCAAACTAACTTCAATTTTCACGCAGAAAAAGCTCAGCTCTGCATCTTTTGGTTCCCTTAAAATCGTTAAAAAGTAGCTATCTTGGGTGAGAGCGATGAGATTATATTTGATTCTAATGTTCGGCCGTCAATTGCAGTGATCCAAGCCAGTATCGTCTACTGATGGCCGAAGAGAACGGTGAAGTTGATCGTGATCTGCCACCGATTGATGGGCATCGATCACTGGCTGAGCTTGGCTCCTGTTGGAGTACCGTGGCGTTGGTTCATCGCTCTGAGATTACCTCAGCGCCTGTCCACAGTGAAGTTACGGTGTAAGTTTCAACCGTAACTATTGAATCGCGCATCTTCTGGTTCTGCCCTCGTCATTTACAAGAATTGCGCTTGCAAAACATTTTTTTGAGCGTCGGCGGTACAATTGCAACACAGTAATGCTCTACCTATTTTCATTCAGCAAGGTTGAACGAAAATAGGTAGAGCACGAACAACAGTTATCGCTGTTGCAGTAGGCAGTGGTAACGATAAATTTTCAATGTGTCGGAACGGTGTCGGAAGAGTATGATGGCACCAGTTTTCCGAGGTAGTTAGGAGACTGTTAAGGTGTCAGCGGACATTAGCACGTCGAAACAACTCTTAACGTACGAAAAGGTTTTGCAATACTTTTTTATAGTATCGATCACAACAAATGCATTGTTCGTTCGATGTCATTAACAAAAAGTACTGGAATTTGATCACTGATTCATCATTGATCATTGATTGATTTATCATTGATTCGCGATTTTGATCATTCATTCGTCATTATTCGTGATCAATCGATCGCTACATGTTAAACGGAACCTATACGTTCACAAATATCGCCTCAATTTGTCATCTAATTTCACCTAATTAAGTTCCAATAACTTACATGAAAGCCGTCTACGATAACATTTAAAACGTATCTCTTGACTTAGTTGAGCAGTATTGAAGCGCTGCACTGAAATTTTATTTCAACAAAGTTTTATGAAATTTTATTTTATGAAATTTTACTGAAATTTTATTTGGATACTTTTTGAAGCTACTTATTGGTAGATACTTTCAACACAATACTTTTCGGACATTTACGAAGCTCTAATGAAACATCTTCCGTGTTCCATCGTGATCTATTTATTCTAGAATAGCTTCAATTAAGATACGAATGATTAGAGTGCTAGTGCTGATTTCAGAATGTTTGCTTTTGGATTCGCATTCGCTAATTTATCCTATCACAGATACACCGTAAGTGGTGGTTGTTACGTGTTTGAATTGGATACACTGGATGTACCACTGTCTTGGTTGAGGGATCGAGCACTGGAGAGACGTATCGAAGAGGAGGGTGATTCCTTCTTGTGTAGTAGTGATTATCCTGAACGTCAGTTGTTTCTTCGACATTTCTTATTTTCAATCAATCAAGTGAATAAATTATGGAGGCAATATCTCCTTGTAGAAAAGGTCCTGGTCACTACGTGACGAATTACTAGAACAGTTTCCTTATTGAAAATCAGTGCAATTACTGACCGACCGAAATTCCTCCAGTTTCAGCAATAAAGGCCAAATCTGTATCGGTACCAATGATCGCTATCAGTAACTGAATTTGTTCGAATAGTATCTCATCGGAAAATGCCCTAACTATATTCTCATATGTAAAGCCGAAGGTTCACACCTAACTTGATCTCATTTCGCTGACTTGCTCCAACGTTATTCATTTGAAGAGTTACACGATAAGAAAAATTCTCACATTTGAAGCGCATCAAATAGGCTAAGCATGTGTCGCGATGTTTGCGACTCTATTGAGACTCAGCGTCTGATATGGAATCGAAACATGATGTGAAATTGTAGAAGGAAAAATTTTTTGTAAATCCTCAATATAACTCTTATACGTTTCAGTGCGTGAATATTTGTTGGAGACATTGAACGAACCAGATGTAGCATTGAATTTGGAAGCGACAATCGCCAGTACGGCATGCACCGAGTTCCTGTTAATTCGCAAAAATAGTTGGCTTCTTATATTTTCTTTATCCTTTTTTGTAAATCTTACTGATCATAAACCATTTCCTTGCTAATAAGGAGTGTGATGCGAATACGTTGAGGTTATAATTCGATTTCTCGAATTAATTTCATTTTCCTCGTAATGCTGACGAATCATCAAGTTAGAGGCATTGATCTTGCGCACTCGTCAAATTGTTCGATCGTGTTAAAAGCGCGGAATTAACATCATTGATTGACTAAGAATCAGTATAAGCATTGCTATGGTGGCAAGTTTTTGATGTGTCTAACGTAAACGAATCAAAATAAGGCAACTAACTTCCCAGCCAATTCAGTTTCATTTAAAGGCTCACGAGGAGACTTCCAAATGCGGCGACCATCCATCATGTCGGATTTTGATGCAATGACACCACTGGCAACAACCACTATGCAAAGATCAATCAGTACGGATTTATACTCTGCGAGAATTGGTTCGAATTTTCTTTCGATTGTTTCGATCTTTAGTCTGAAAACGAGCAGGTGGATGGATAGCAGCTTTGAGATCAAATTTTCACCAAATCGTCAACAAATTTAGTCACAATGCTGACAAATGTAGTCACATCTGAAAACAATTTTGTGATGCGCAAACATGAGTTTGTTCCTCGTGAACATTCACAAGAGAAGTGAATTTTATGAAGAATTGCTGAAGTCCATTGAAATCATGTGGAAATGGCACTGAATCCGAAGAGTTGCGAACGTTTTTGAAATTCCATTCCTCAATTTTCTGCCGGAAATGGTCCACTTTTCACGATTCACGGCATCGTTCAACCATCGTAGCTTGTTCAGGCGATACAAGTGCATTGACCACACCCGTATCGCCATCTCCTGTCACGCCCGAGGGTGACCCTGAACTGGGATCGTTGCTTGACGATGATTATACGGTTGAATGGTTGCATCGTTATAAGCCAAAATGGTCGGCACGTCTTGGTGGGTTGCAATAAATTTTACTTTTTAGTTTAGACGATTTTATTTAGAAGAACACTTCTCTCATTATAATGCGTAGTTTGCAGCTTTTATCTGCATCTACGAAAAGTTTTCTGACCATTTTTTTATGCGGATAATTCAGTAAATGCAAAAACATAACGCTTCCAATGAATTCGTTGTAAGAACTAATCACAATCGTACTCAAAGAGAATTCTCTTGTATTGAGAGAAAACGATCGATGTGAAATAGATCTGAAGCAAATGTTTACGAAAGCAAATTTTCCTCATAATGTTTACGAATCATCGAGTTGGAGCATTGATCTTGCGCAATCGTCAAATTGTTCGATCGTGTTAAAAGCACGGAATTAACATCATTGATTGCCTGAGAATCAGTATCGTAAAGATCAGCATTGCTATGGAATTGGGAAAAGAGAAATCAGGCATGGATGCCGATCTGATTTCGTATAGGGCAGCTTTCTGTCGTTTTCAACCAATTGATATGACTCTTTAGTTCCAATCAGTGACTGCATCCGACTGACAGGGTCAGGATTTTGGCATTCGGATTCCGGCCGAACAACTTGGAAGGTCGGCCGGAATTCCGACTATCGAAAATTCAATCTGTTGATTCGGCCGGATTCCGACCGAACAACCATTTCGACAGTTGGTGGGAATTCCGACTGTCGAAATGATGTGAAGTCAAGTCGGTCCGATCCTGACCGACATGAAATTTCACCCGAATTTCATCACCAGTTTCAATTAACCTATTTTAGTGTGTTGCATCTTTCAGCTTGTTGTGTTTCTTTTATGTGATTTTTTTTNTTTTTTTTCTTTATTTTTGTGATTTCTTTATTTTTTGCAAGTGCATAATTTTGGATTACACATCTGTAGATATTACACGATCATGAAGCAATATTCAAACATTTCAAATATGTTTTGAAAAAATTCGGTATCACTTTGAATAGTTTCGTTCGGTATGATGAATACGTTTTCGTTCTACAATTATTATCATTTCATCATGTTTTGATATGACTGATGCAATTTTAGAGAATAGACAGAAAATTATTTATTGTAGCAATGCACGATTTGGGTTTCGAGCTGAGACGTTGTCAGTCGGAACGAAAACGTTCACTCACACTGCTGAGGTCACCCACCCAAAAATATTTGAAGGTTTTATGGGATCATGTTGGTGCCGTCGATATTGTTGCAGATCACGGAACAGGTTCGTAACATTTCTCAATCATCTTCGACAAAGACTTAAGAAGTATAAGGATTTATTATGAAGTGATTACTGTCAAAATTTGTTTTTGTTTCCGTATTCATTTACTGTGTTTTCCGCACCGTACG